ATTATAGGAATCCAGAAAGTCTCGAATGTCATCACTATGCACTTCTGAATTCATTTACCTGGCAAGATCGACAACTTCATTTAAATTATCAATTTCATTAGGCTCTGCTATAATTCAGCCTGAGTTTTGACGATGGAAAAAAAGACCAATGTATGAGCTTTGAAAATAGCGTTACTCCGAATTCGCATAAGTCGAGGTATTACTGTATTGTTCTGTATATAATTCCTTGTAACTAATTAAAATATACAGTCAGACCTCTATATAACGAAGTCGCTAAATCTCGGAAAAAAGTTCGTTATATAGAGGTTCATTTTTTAATGTACTTTATATATAAACCACATAAAACAAATTATAAATTAATAAACACTATACATCAAAAAAAGTAATTATATATCTTACCCATCAAAAAAAGAAAGAAAACCTGCGAGGAAAATAAGGAAAAAGAATGTCAAAGAATTCATTGTTTCAATAAAGAAAATAATTTCATACTAAAATTAATTAATTTTCAGGACATTTTATAATTTAAAGCGTACAAGTAATATTAAACATACATTATTTTATAATTAGAACACAGGAATATGGGACAACTGTACTGAGTTTGAAAGAGGATATCGGATGTTTCTATTAAACTGGGCAATAGGGGTTAAAGGTTGCACTTTTTGGATGAAACGTCCAGAACACTATTGTTCTCGGCGAGTTAGGATCTAATAAAACCAGTTCAAAATTTATGATCACCCTAAAATGTGTTAAAGAGAGAATAACTACTTTAAAAAAAAGGGAGAACAAAAACTGAATCACAAAAGAAAAAGTTCGTTATACAGAAAATGCACTTCGCTGTAGAGAGGTAATTTTACGAAAAAAAAAAAAAAAAAAAACGTGAAATGTTCGAGGTTTCAGAAAAAGTTCGCTACATAGAAAATAAGTACACCTGATGTAAAATTAGGTCACTGAAAAAATTATCTGGAATGTCCGTCAAAGAAAAAATTTAAAACAGAGAATATAAGTGCGTAGAATCTAAAACCTCAGTATGTCTTGAATGGGCCAAAATTTCTTTCATAAATTGCAATAAAGAAGTACGTTGTCTTGCAAAGTGAACATTATTTCAAAAATTTAGACACTTTATTTTATAGTAATGTGTTAGATTTTATGTATTTCAACTTATTCGCAAAATAATTTTATATATCGTTTTTGTATTTCTTTGGTAATAATAAAACTTTTTCTTTTTTCAAAAAAAAATAAAAATAAATAAACAAATAAAAGTCTTTTTTGTGTGAAAATAAATTACCAAATTTAAATTGAATTATTCTAAAAATCGGTTTAGTTTTATTTTGTGAGGTTATAATTCTTTCATTTGACTATAACATTTCCATATCTCATATCTTAATTTATCCAAACTGATTCTAAGTTTCATTTTGTACTTTTTTGTATTATAAAAGGATTCTCCTTTTTAAAGAAAAAAAAATATCGACCATTTTTGTGAAAAAAATTGCCAAAATGAAAGTGGATTTTTCTGAAAATCAATTAAAATGCACGTGTGAGATAATAAAAAATATGACTCAGTTGAAACACTTATCGTAAATTCACAACTAGTGTTAGCTTACAAAATACAAAGATTTCTAATAGTATTTTAGACCATACCACACCATTTGTGTGATAAAATTCATTCATGGTAGAAAAAAATAAGAAAAAGGAGTCTTAATTTTTTTCAAAAATAAAAATTAATGCTTCATAAATTACACTAAAATTCAGATACCTCTGTGAGTGTCTATAAGGAAATAAATATTTTAATTTAACATTTTAAAGGCGCAATATTTTATCAATAGTAGATTGAAGGATTAATCAAGGCATACATTTTGAAATTGCATTATTTTTTCTGGCATTCAATTTTTAAGGTTTAATTTTATGAGAAATACACATATAACTTGCTATATAATTTGTTCTGGTGGAATCCTGCAATTAAATTTTGTAGCTGATGTCTTCACCGGATTGAGCTGAAATTTTATATACTAGTTTAGTTAGGATGACAATGTATGTTTTGAGTATTTATATACCGATATTGCAATTAGTTAAACAAGATATTAATTAAAACCCTTCAAACGCTAAATTGTTTTACCCCTGTTAGCTTTTTATGCTGCCGAGCAATTTGTCGGATTTAGCTTAAAGAAGTTCCGATTTTTCGACCTATTTTAAAAAAAATCATCTAATCCTTTCTATCAAACTCATACAAAAAATAATTACATAATCAGAAAGATCATTTATTTCGCCTCAACACGGTATAATTCTTTTTTAAAAAATAATGTTTTCTTTTTTTTTTTTACTATTTTTTTCTAAAATGAGTCAAAATCGATGCGTTTTCATGAAAATGATTTCTAAATCGTTCCGTATGATTTTTTTTTGTGTTAATGAATCGATATTTTGCACTAAAAAAACGCTCAGGCTATTCTCCTTTAGAATCAGTCATTTAAAAAATAAAATGCTAAAAACATTTTTTTTAAGATTTTTCCAAAATCCTCAAATTTTTAATTTAACATTTGATAACTTCGTAATTTTCAAAGATAATCGCATGAAACCTTTTTTTCGTTTGTAGAACAGGATTATCCGAATTATGTACAAGGATTGAAAAAATTGGTTTAAAATTACAAATTTTTAAAAAAAGTTTTAGTATTTTTTATTTTTATTATAGTATTATAATAAAAGCAAAGAGAAAAAAAAAGTTTTAATATTTTGATTAATTTTGCCCATTATTCTCTTGTTGCGGCCCGAGTGAAATATTTTTCATATGTGGCCTGGCGGGAAAAAAGATTGAGTACCCCTGAGCAAGACCAGAATTAATCGACAAACGATCTTGAAACAATGATGCGTTGAATGAGAGGAACAGACTGAAAAACATGTCCAGCGATAGCTAAAAAGTAAACAAAAAATTAAAAGTAAAAAAACATTTTTTTAAAACAAGCTTTTATTTAAATGTGCTAAAAAGAATAAAATAAACTTTTCTTTTAAAACTTTTTTTGCTATCAACTTATAACGTCATTGCACAATTTATGATAAAAAAGCTTGTCATGAAATTTACCTGCGCAGATAAACAAGTAAATTAAATAACTTGATCTGATTGATTTTAATTTTTAAAATTTTTAAATTAAGTAAATACAAGTACCGTAAAATCCGGTGTATAACATGCACTTTTAACACAAAAAATAAGACTGAAATTCAAGGGTGCGCGTTATACGCCGGGTATGAAAATGAGAGCTCTAAAAATGAGAAAAAGAGATAAGCATAAAAAAAGCTTGATAATTGCATATATTAAAATATGTTTCTTTAAAAGAAATGACATTCCTAATGAACTTGAAAAGTAGTAATTCTAGAAGTATACTATTTTTCTAAGATTTTTGGGATAATACCTTGAATAAATGACTTCAAAACATAATAGCATTGCAAACGTGCATTTTAGAATTCCTTGTAAAAAGTGGGTGCTCGTTATATGGCGAATATACCCAAAAATCAAAAAATGCTGCTTGAAGGCATAGGTGCGCGTTATACGCCGGTACGCGCTATACGCCGGATTTTACGGTACTTATATCTCGCGACAAGTTTTTATATTATAAATTGTGTAATGACATTATAAGTTGATAGCAAAGAAAGTTATTAAAGAAAAGTTCATTTTATTAGAAATAAAATTAAATTAATGCTTATTTTTTAAAAGAAAGTTTTTTTTTTTTTTTTTTTACTTTTAATTTATTTTCCAAATGATGTATAATGTGCTGTGATTTCAGTCACAAATATTTCACGTGAAAATAATTGTTCCCAAATACTTAAAATATTTTTCTGAATCATTCCAGCAGTGGGAGAGAAATATAGGAAACATTAGCAATTCTACTTATTAAAATATTACTTAAGCCTCTCAGGAACAGTTACTTAATATATGTGCAAATTCAACATACTACAGAAAACTTGAAACGCATCAAACGTTTCATAGCATTTTTCCAGCATATTTCATAACTTTAACACCTGACATACTCGTAACAGGTAATTACTTCAGGTAATCTAATTTTCAGAGCATGGAAACGACGGCAACTTGTCTTTGTAACAAAACTGATGTCTGCCTCCCATTTAGAGGTTTAATAATTAATCTTCTCCAGACATTTGGATTGGCAGAAGACAGGGAAACATTATTAAATGGAAACCGCGTTCAAATACCATTTCGTAGAAAGGTCGAAGCTTACTCATGAATGTCTCTGATCTCTACTTTGAAAGGCGGAGTAGTTGAATTAGAACATTATTTTGCACATTAAGACATATCACCTTATTTTAAGGTTTCACATGGGTCATTAGTCGGATTTTTAAGTTTCCTTTAAATCGATCATAAAAGTTGCACATAAAATGTGCAATATTTGTTGAAATGAAAAATGGAGTACATGTGCAAAATGGGAAAATTTTAATCTCTCTCTCTTTCTATATATATATATATATATATATATATAGGAGAATAATGATCACCCACTCATCACGTGATCTCTGGAACTATTAGACCTAGAGATTTGAAATTTTGCACATGTTTGCATTGTTGACTAAAAATCCACAAAGTCATCCCTTTTTGCGGAATTTGATTTTCAGAAGGTTTTGTGAGGGGTTAAGTTGGATTATATATATAAAAATTCCCTTTGTTGTTGTTTCCGTGTCCTTCCCGAAGGAAAGGAAGGAAAGTTGCCAGAGCCTGATACAGGTTGGACTTCTTTATGATAGAGGGCGACACCACCTATCTCCACCTACACAATTTAGGTATGGAACTGGAGGGGAAGGAAATATTCTCCATTACCCTGCAACTGTGGTTTTTGCTGCGACCACCCACAAAGCTTTCGGGCCCACTGATTCAACGAGCATGTACTTCGTGTGTACTCGAAAGGTATTTGGTGGCATCGGGCATCGAACCCAGGCCTTCCTGTCTGGAGTTCGATGCTCTATCCACTAGGCTACCCATGGTCTTAAAATAATTAGAGAATGCCAACGGCACGCGGTGTTCCCAGGAGGCCACCCTCTCAAGTACTGACCGCGCACAATGATGCTTAACTTCATTGATCGGACGAAAACCGATGTTTTCAGCATGGTATGGCCAACAGCAAAAAAATTCCCATGTTTGAATTAATAATTCCGTGTTAAACCTGTTTCTTTTGTTAAATGGAGATACACTATGAACCTGTTTTGGGGCAATTGATACCTAAGGGTATTCAGTTAAAAAGATTCTTGGTTTTGAATTATTGGATCGACATATTTGAAATTTGGTGGGCCTGTTTCTTTTGTTGAGTAGAGATCTGGGAAGAAGTGGTTCTGAATAAACAGGCTCCCAAAGAAATTTGAGAGGGCGTTATAGATAAAAATTCTCATTTTGGTACTTTAAATGTATGGAGAGTAGTGATTGTTCAGTCTTTCGCTAAAATTACAAATTGCCAGAAGAATCCCCAAATACTCTAAGACAGAAAAATATACAGGGATATACAATATGCATATTAAAATCAAGTGTTTGTAAGTTAAGAAACTTTGTTAACATTTTTGTAAGCCATGTTGGTAGGTCTTAAGAAAATATGACGTCAGGTTTCTGCTTGAAAAATGTATAAGCGTGATTTGATGGGGTTTGTGTGTGTGTATAGGAAATAAATCAAATCACAGAGTGTAATTCTTTGAGCTTGGAAATTAAAATGAGACGTTGTGAAAATGGTATTCCTGGTTAAGATACAAAGAATAAATGTTTTTTTATTTTATTTCTAATGACAGGCTAGAAACATTTATTCAAGAGTTCATCATTCTACCTATTACGTCACCGAAAGATGATACCTCTTTTTAGTGCGGCACCATATTGGCGGATGCCAATCGCCGCACGTAATTTGACGCCCAGTTAAGTCCCTAGAGGGAGGCATCTGAGCTATGATGATGCGAACCTGTACTAGGATTTAATTTTACCTAGAGAATCTCCCTAGGGATCTTTTACATGCCGAGTAGTCATACGACTTGGCGCTGTGTATTTTATACATCATGAAAATCCATCGACTTGGGCCGGGGTCGAATCCTCAACCTTGGGTACAAAAGGCCAGTAGCAAACCAACCACGCCACCCAGCCGACACAAAGAATAAATGCGAGATTAGAAATTGAAGTTATCAGAATGTCACACACACACACGCGCGCACACACACATAGGAGATTCGTAACTATGTTTTTAGATGCGATGAGAAATTCATATTTTAAATTCATTTCCGTATAGTAAAAATACTACCAACCATTATTGGTTTATTGTAACCGTTCATTTAATTCGCTAAACTATATGGCAGCACTAAATGTAGTTTTAAAAATTCATGAACTGTAAGTTTCACAATTCGCGTTTTCATCCCTCTTCTTTTAAATTAACTACTGTTTACTTCAAACTAAGACTTACTTCTAAAAGGTAAGAGTTTATAAAGTAATTAGTTAAACAAAAGGAAAATAATTTAAATCTTAAACTCTGTCTTAAATGAAAGCCTGTCTCATTACGATGTCTACGACTTTTTAAATTAGTTAAAAATAAGCCTGTATCTCACGATGATTGCGTTTAATAAAAAAACCTTGAAATTATCTATATAATTGATTTCTAACTCATTAAAATTTCATAACTATCAGCCTATATACAGATGTGCTTTCAAGTACTGATGCATTTTATTAAATATGTTCTCATATAAGAATTGTAAATTTATTAAAAAGTTAATTTTTTGATTTAATACTTTTTCGTTCGTTTTTGTGTTAAAATTCGACAGTGTATAAATTGTTTCATACAGATGAAAATATCAATATTCTTATTCTTTATTACATGCGGTTTTAAAGAACTTATTAAATTGTGTTGATTCTCTTGTTATAAATGATTAATTTTCTTTTCTTATTACATGTCATTAAGAGAATTCGGGGTATGGAGTTGATTCTTGTTAGAAATTATCAATTTCCTTATTTTTTTTGTTACATGTAAGTTAAAAAGTTCCTGAATTTGGGTTGATTCTTGGTAACAAATATCAATTCTCTTATTCTTTATTACATGTGGTTTAGAGAATGAATAAATTTGGGTTGATTTTTTTAAGAAAGAACCAAATATATATATTTTTTATTTCATGTCATCTAGAAAATTCATGAACTTTGGATTATTATTGTAAGCAAGTATAGCCAAATATATGCTTATATTACATAAGACGATGGAAAAATAAGATAGAATGGATTAATTATAGAACTATAGATAGATTATAGAACAACTATTTTATGAAAAATGTTGCAATGTAAAATAGCAAATTTGATCAAGCACGTTAGTGAAATACCTATTTGAGTATATTCATAATTCTTAAAAATTAACTCATCCTTGTATTTACATTCTTAATGTAATATTCTTACCTTCTCTAAAAAACAATAGAAATTAATTTTTACAATTATCTTCAATGATCTTTAATTTTTATCATTACTTATACATTTGCAATGCATCACGAACATATTTACAAAAATACATTGATTATCATAAAGTAAGGGAAAATGGGTAAATGTAATAAAAGCGTGAGGGGTGCTTTGTAATACATTTTTATACTAACTCTGCATTTTAGAATAGAACTAGTAAGATATAACAATTGTGTGTTATCGAACGGCCCACGCTTTTACCTCAATGTCATTAATTTTCTCGTTAATCATTTTATTCTTATGTTAAGAATGATTTTTGACCTTTTGGATCGATCAACTATAAAAGCGAGTTTTTTAGTTTTTTTTAAAACTATAATTTATTTCTCATATTTTTTAGTTAGAACTACAGTAAAAGGGTGTTTTATTAATCTTTCAAACTATTATTTATTTGTTTCCATTTTCAGAAAAATTGGGCAATTGTTTATATTATGATAAAAAATGCTGATGCATTCTCTCATTTTTCACATAAAGAACACTTTTTTTGTTCGTTATATTTGTGTTTACCATGAGCGGTTTCGCTTTAGGGTTCTAACTTAATCTTTTAATCGCCAAAATCCTGAGTTAGTCGCCAAATCTGTGAAAATTAGAAATATTTAATCCTGATGATTTTAATCAGGGCAATGGAGAAAAATTATTAATTTATTGTATTGTCATCGGTCGTTGACAAGTGTGCAAAATTTTGAATAAATAGGAACTTTTAAAGTGGGTAAAAATTGAGAGCAAAGATTCCGTTACATACAATTGAAGCTAATAAAAGCGGGTAAAAAAAGACAACTTTTCTTGTACCCGTATTATTACAAAAACATATAAAAAGGAAAAGCTACTTTTTCTGGCAAATTACTATTTCAAAGTCGTATAAAGAAGATGGTTGTATAAAGAAACGAATTTTCCAAACGAAAAAAAGTATGAAAAGAGGTAGATGAATATAAGATAAAAAACCTTATTTTTTTTCATCATATTCTAGAACTTCGAAACTGGAAATGAGTGTTTTAAAGAAGAAGAGATGCTCCAGGTCAATTTTTCTCCCGAAGTGCCAATTGAACATTTTGAACTACTTCTTCAAATCAGTTACATCTAGACGAACCTTTCGTAAAGAAAGATATACGAAGATACCTACACTGATATTTTTCATTCTAAATATTCAAAGGTATAAAGAAAAGTTTTAAAGTTACAATCATGAATATAAAACTAAACTGAAACATAGCTCATTACTATAGTTGTATGCTTGGGACTGTAAAAAGTGGAGTTTGAGAGACAAAAACAAACAAACAAAAATATGTCTAGGATAACTAACAAGGTAAGAAATGTTTTCCTTTTTCATTCGACTTTTTAAGTAGCTTTAGAACTTTTAAATGGGAAGAAAGTTTATTATTTTTTAAAATATATGAATTGACAACGTAGAGAATTAATGTATTAAATCAAATTTAAGAAAAACACAATAATTTTTTTTTAAAAAAAAAATGTATTTATTTTAAATCTAACAAAACCAAGAATAGTAATCAATATTAACTTTTTAATCTTTAAAATCGCATTCTTACATTTGATGTAATACTACTGTTCATGACAAATATATAATTAATATTGTTTCAACAGTAAAAATATCGATGAAAATCACATTTAATAAAATGATTTGAATTCATGAGAACGAAAAAAAACTGTTACCAAAAGTATAAAATATTAATATCTAATCTTTTAAAAATGCTTTAATATAAAGTGGGAGTAACAAAAAAAATATTTTTTGACAGAAAAATTCAAAATAAAAATTGAAAATTAACTATTTGAGCCAAGAAAATTCATCAAAAGACTTTTAAACAAAATTTTAACAAAAAGAAAAAAAAAGTTATTTTATAAAACATACGGAAAAGTCATCATAATTTTCAATTGCATTATCATGCTTTAAAATAAACATCAGAATTTAAGTTGATTCTTGGTAGCAAATACCAGTTCTTTTATTTTTTATTACATGATATTTAGAGAATGCATGAATTTAGGTTGATTTTTTTAGTAAGAATCAATTCTTTTAATTATTTCTTTTTTTGCATGCCATTTAGAAAATTCATGAATTTTAGATGATTATTGCTAATAGATATAGCCAAGTAGACACATATTATACAAGACAATGAAAAAATAAGATAGAGTTGATTAAATATAGAACTTCTTTTTTATGAAAATTGTACAATGTAAATTAGCGGACTCGAACAATCACGTCAGAAAAGTATATCTTTGGGTACATTCATAAATCTTGAAAATCAACTCATTCTTGTAAACATCCTTACAAAAACATGAGAGAAAATCTTTAGTGTTGGGAGGGATATATCCTGTAAAGCTACTCTAAAGTAAAAAAAAATGAAAATGATCATGAAAATGTTCTGAACTTTCCTTAAGGTAAAGAGGACATCAAACAAATTTAAAAAGAAATGACTTTTCAATTTTAGTATTAAAATCTAGTGCATATTTTTCTGAATTTAAAAATGTATTATAGTTATATGTTTGTTGATAAAAAAACCCTTAACATATGTGAAAAAAGTAATTGCCAAAAATGTAAACAAACTCCTACCAATGTTTTGATTTTTCACTTTTTCTCCAAAGTATAACTTTTTACTTTTAGGTACATTTAAAAAAAAAACTGTTCCACTATATGTTTCCAAATTTTTTATA